TGGTAGTGGTGAAGGTTAGTGGGAGTCATACTCTGAGCTAGGGCCTGTAAGACCAATCCCTTTTCACATTCACCTGAGATTCATCATTACTGTGTCTTTAGTTTTCATCAGCATCGTTGGTAAACTGGAGATCAAGACTCTGCTGAGCTCTGACATAAAAAAGATGTAAGGTACCACCACTGAGAGTTGCATTGAGCTCTTCTGAAGTTTCTCCCTACTGCCCACCTGTGCTACTGTGCCTCACAAGAAGCCGCCAATCTGCATCATTTCTCTGTAGCTTACTTTCTATTTTCTAGAATCACATGAAGATGGAGTTACTGTATAGCCACACCTTGTCTGGCATCTTTTGCTTTGCATAATTGATTTGAGATCCATCTGTGTTGTAGGTTCTACAGGTGGTTTGTTCTGCCACATTCCATGAACTGATAGCCATGGGGCTCCTTAGTTCCCCACTGATAACCATTCAGAGCCTTTCATACTTGGGCGACTACCAATAAAGCTGTGGGGAAATACTCATATAGTCTTTTCTAGGCAAGTACCCAGGGCAAAAATGACTGGAGGATCATATAGTAGATATATTAGTGAGTTTTAACTTTTTCTTACTTTTGAAAAATAAGAAATACATATATTTCTTACATGTATGTAATATATCTTGATTATATCCATCTTCACTCCACTGTTTCAGTTTCCTAGAGCCCCCAACACCACTTCTTCCCAAGTTCACGTTCTCTTTTTAAAAGTTTTTAAATTATTATCTTGCTTTTATATCCTAACCAGTGCTTCCCCTCCCTCCACTCTTCCCAGTCATCCCCTCCCCCTGCCCCCGCAACCCCATTCCACTCTTCTTCCACTTTTTCTCTTCAGATATAGGCAGGCATCCCATGGATATCAGCCAACCTTGGTATATCAAGCTGCAGTGATACCAGGCCCCCTCTCCTCCACCATGGTTGGATGAGGCAACCCGGCAGCAGGAATGGGTCCTAAAATCAGGCAACAAAGTCAGAGACACCCTCACTCTCACTGCTAGGAGTCCCACATGAAGACCAAGTTACACAACTGTAGCATATATGTAGAGGGCCTAGGTCGGTCCCATGCAGGCTCTTTGGTTGTTGGTTCAGTCTCTATGAGCCCCTATGAGCCCAGGTTAGTTGGTTCTGTGGGTTTTCTTGTGGTGCCCTTGACATCACTAGCTCCTGCAATCAATCCTTCCTCTCCTCTTCTTCAGGATTTCCCAAGCTCCACCTAATATTTGGCTATGGGTCTCTGTATCTGTTTCCATCAATTGCTGGGTGAAGCCTCTCTGATGACAGCTGGGCTAGGCACCAATCTATAAGTATAGAGGAATATCATTGGGAATCATTTCATTGAGTTTTTTTTTTTCCTTTTGTGTTTGGTTCTATCCTAGGTCTCTAGGGTATCCAGCCTCTTGGTCCTGGCACTCAGTGAGGAGCTCTCTCTCTCTCAGGGTATGGGTCTCCAGCTAGACCTGTCATCAGTTGGGCACTCCCACAATTTCTATTTCATCCTTACCCAAGCACATCTTGTAGGCAGGACAAATTGTAGGTTGAAGGATTTGTGGCTGGGTTAGAATCCCAGACCCTCCACTGGAAGTCTTGCCTGGTTACAGGAGAGGGCCAGTTCAGGCTTCATATCCCCCACTGCTAGGAGTCTTAGCTAAGGCCAACCTCATAGATTCCTGGGAGTTTCCATTGCTCTAGGTTTCTAGCTCATCCCAGAGATGCCCCCAGATTCCAGTTGTCTCTCCCAGTACTCTCTCCCTTCATCCTCCCCCACCTGATCCCTCCTGTTCCCATCTGTATTCCCCCTTCTAGGTCCCTCCCCCAACATGAAGCTTACCACAATGGGGAAATAGAATGGACATGTCCTCTTTTTATGATGTTAATAGCCCAATAAGTTAAATTCACGCTGTTCCTATACCTATGGCTGTGGGGTCATCTACTGAACTATGGCAACCTACCAGTAGCACCTTCCTTCCCAAAGAGATGGGAGGACTCTTCCTGTTCCAGGAGCCATCAACTTCTAATAGTTCCTTAGCAAGGAGAGTGGCATTTTGGAGCCCTTCATCCATTGATGGTGACTGATGTCATTTTGTGAAGACAAGTCATATTGCTTAGAGTTCATGGGTGTAACAGCCCTGTCACGGTCAGAAGACATTATTAAGTTTTAAAGTAGAATATCTCAAAGTGTTTTAATTCTTAGTACTGTACTGCCCCACCAGCAGGGAGCGACACTTCAGATTGCCTGATGTCTCCTCCAGTGCTTGATATGGTCAGGCTTTTAATTCCATCCATTCTAAAGGGTATGTCGTGTTGTTACACTGTGGCCTAACTACATTTTATTGTAAGTCTCAGAAATGAGTAATGGTATGGGTTTAAGTGTCCCTGCTTATTTACAGAGTTTGCTCCATTGTGCTTTAGTAATAAACTTCTTCAACCACCATAACACACATTATTAGAATTCTTTTTATCATAAATAAGGCAATGGCTTTTTCCATGTAAGTGAAGTGAGTGTGTTGTAACCACACTATACACACTCATCAAGGATGACGTTTAGCACATTGTAAAGTAGTCTACCCTTTATAAACCTGCCTCTTCTCCACTAAGCAATGGCCTAGTGAAAGTCTGCATATTATTTATCTTTATATCTCTGCATCCATTACAGTCATAGACTCAAAGTAGGAGCTTGGTTGACGTTTTATGAATGGAATCTGTCCACTTTCTCATGCAGAGGTATTTTGTGGTAGATGTTGGAAAAAGTGCTTAAAGGATTGAATGAATGAGTTTTGCATCCTGTACGATGCAACAATGTGATTTGATGTTTTCCTGTTTCACAAATAGGCTGAATTGGCTGGCTCCAATTAGGAGCTTTCTAATGCTAATATTCTGTGATCAAAGAGTTCCCATTGTTCTCAGACCTCACCAATCTGGGACAGCAAGCTAAGGTGATAAGTCTTTGAATGCTCACATTGTATTGGTTTGAGTAACACTCAAATGAACAGAGGGCCTAGTCTTGTTATATCTGTTCTTCATCTTCCGAGATGCTCACTCTGAAGCCATTCTGCCTTGTGTGAGAAAGACATTTTCATAAAGGGAGCCCAGCAGTTATGGCATTACTCCTTTGCTCCACAGGGTTTGAGAAAGATTTAATTTGTGTTCGTTCAGTACATTGTTTCTCACAGGAAAATAAAAGTCCCCTAAATCTGCTCAGGGCCCATGTGACGGGGCTCTGCGGGATGTTCCTCTAGGTTGAGGTCCATCGGGAAAGCTGGTTCAAGAAGTACAACAATGTCAGCACTTGAAGGCATCACTCTGTCCATTGATACTTGTTCCTGCCTAGGAGCCAGACTTTTTTGTGGTAGAGGTTCTTCACAAGGGTAAACTCTTACCTGGCCTCAGATTATCAATCTTCTAGCTAGGCTTTTTTCTTATTTCAACTTTGAAAGGGGTTGTCCCATGTAATTCCTCCAGAAAGTCTTCATGGTCTCCTTTATGGACATTTGGATATATATGAATCTTTGGGCTAGGGTACAGACCACCCAATTCAGTCTAGGACTCTGCTTGAGTCTAACAGTGATAGTTTACAAAAGAAGTAATCTATGCATCAGAATCACATCCATGGGTTTTCCCAGGGACAACATCTCTGGAGGAAGCACCAGGGATGTTGCATCAATTGCAGTGGGTTTTGTTATTCATAAGAAACATTAGAAACCCATTTCCTTAGGTTTGGAGAGATGACTCAGCAGTTTAGAGCACTTACAGTTCATCTAGAGGACTCAAATTTGGTTCCTAGCATCCACTTTGGGCAGCTTACACCAACCTGGGTATCTCCCACCCTCTTCTTGCCTTCACGGGCACCTACACAGGTGTGCATGTGCATACACACACACACACACACTCACACACTCACATAGGCACACACATCCTTAGACTCTTCCATACACATCTCATGTGATTTCTACTTGCTGTCCTTCTGCCCTGCAGAGATTTAATGGTGCTTAAGTTGTAGCATGAAGGAGTGTTCTTTTTGCCACACATCAGTAAGTATTTTATTTACGGAGGACCTGTGGGAGTTGGGCTTCTATGCTGAAAAGGTTTGTCTGTCCCCTGGCCTCATAGAGCTTACATTCCAGTTGGGAATACACAGATTTAAATGAATGAATGAATAAATGAATAAATAAATAGAAAACATAGGTGGCTGCAGAGTGATAGTACAAACAAGGCAACGAGAGAGCTGTGGTATGCACCTTGGGGAAGAATGAAAATGGAGTGCATCAGGAGGAAAGCTCTCTATCAGGAGCAAACCTGTGAACTGCCACCCAAGACAGACCCTAGCACAGAGCTTTTCAGACAGAGACAACAGTGCCAATGCCTCAGGGACAGAAGTCCTTAGTTCCAGAAATGGACCAAGGCTGCAGTTCCTGGGTTAGGATGGACAGAAGAGAGACAGGGACAGCATATGGAAGCTCAGGCTTTACAGGGAATTTGGAAGATGATAACGATGGAGAGGAAGAGACACAGGAAATGGCAGAAGTTAAGGAAGGAGAAAAGGAAGAGGTGGAGTCTTAGAAGGAAGGTAAGAAGGGTTATGCATGGTTCTCTAGAGAAACAAAACAAATGGATACACACATGCAACATATGCGTGCACGCATACACACACACACACACACACACACACACACACACACACACACACACACACACACACACATACCCCTTCACGATAGTGTCCAAACAGTTTCATATTAGCCATGTATACAACAGAAAGGCTGAGAGCCTGATAGTGTAGCCTGTAAAACTGGATGCCTCAGCCTTCCCATTCTGGTGCTGAAGGCCTAGAAGATTCCTAGAGAGTTGCTGGTATTCAGGCCACATCACAAAGCTGAACAAGCTGAAACCTGATGCCTGTGGAGGATGGCAGCATCCACTGTCACAAAGCAAAGGCAGCAGGCACCCCGCCTTTTTGTACCCAGGCCACTGGAAGAGACTGACCACTCTGAGAGAGGGTCTTCCCCTTTAGTTCATTTCCCTGGAAATGCTCCCCCAGACAGGCCCACAGGGATGTCTCCTGGGTTATTCTGTTTCCTTTCAAGTTGACGGTTGAGATTAGCCAGACTCCAAGCCAAGGTCAGATGGTTGAGACTTCCCCTTCATAGAAGACTGCAGAGGCAGGGGTGCCACGGGCACTTTTAAAGAATCAATGAATGATATTTAGAATAAGTGAATGAGCTCAGAGCAGATAAGAAGGCTGTGCCAAAGATTGATCTCAGCTCTGGGGAGGGAGCATTTTCAGAAGGTGAGAGGTGAGCCTCCCAGGAAGACAGCACACCCTATCCTGCAGATCAAGTCCCACACACAGTCTCTGGACCTGCTCTCAGAAGAACAGAGCCTGTCTGGGTGAGTGAGGACTTTTTGTCTCTTCTCTTCTTCTGTCCTTAATCTTTCTGGGTTATTTGATGAGATTCCCAGGGAGAGGGGTTACCAGAAGCTTCCCCCTCAGTTAAGGGGACTTCTGAGAAAACTTCTCTGTGTGCCTGGGGGATCAAAGATGAATGAGAGATGAGCTGTGGAGGGGAGAGAGGTTAGAGTGACCTTAGTCAGTTCTGAGACCTCTTCTGTAGTGGTGCTTGTCAAAATGTCACATATTGTGGCATCCCTTTCTGAGTCTCAGGAGGGGTCATAAAGAAGGGGGAAAGATTCTTTTTAGGAACTGCTACATTAATAAGACAAGCAGGGAGGAAACAAAGAGAGGTACCCATGTGGGTTACTTTCTTGGAAATTAGAAGTGAACCCCTTATCATGGGAGGTAGTGAAATCGAGGGAGTTGAATATAGAACCTCATACCAACAACAGCTTTTCATAGAGATAGAGAGAAGGTAAGGGCCTGGGAAAAACGCTTGGGAGATCAAAATAAATAGGGAAAGGGTTGGCTTATTGACTGCATGATCTTAAACTCTTTGTAAATTTTAATCTTGATCAAAAACTCATATTAAATGTAGAAGGTCTCTCCCAGTTTTAGAGTCATGTGATATTCTGAACAACGTCCTTGCAGCAATCACATCAAATTTAGCACCATAGATATGCTAAAAGCAATGTTCAGTCTTTAATTTTTTTCTCTTGTCTCTGAAATATTGCAGTAACCACCTTTAATCTTTTGAAAAGTCAGATCCTTTCAATAAGGAAAAAAATTACTTTCTCTGTTGGGGCCATGAAGTAAATTATATCTTATTGTAACCATTACATAATTACTTCATTGCAGGCAAATGGGTCCTCCCTCTGAGGCTTGCTTGTTAGTGGTTAGAACTCTGCCTGCTCCTTTGCTCAGGTGAGAGCAGCTCTGAGGAGACTGTCCTGATTGGTGGTAAATTGGGCAGGTATTGCCAAAGAAAGGGAGCAAGGTGATTACTTCAAACAGGGGTGATATCTTACTATTCTACATATGATAGAATGACTTATGCGAAGATCATTGAAATGTCCCACTTTCATTCCCAGATGCATTGGTGTCTCATAGAACCTTTTGTTGTGGAGCATCACAAATGATAGGAAGCTGATAAATCAGGTTGGGTTTCCTGAAGAGGGTGAACTTTGAAGGTGGCAATGACAGACCCAGATAGTCTCAGGAACCAGGAAATAAGCTGAAGGTAACCAAGACCAACTTAGTCCCCCTCCCCCCTCCCCTCTTCAACACTCCTTTGGTATACACTTAGGTAGGTAGGAAACTTTTGATTTCTTTCTTTTTCTTTCATTTCCTATAGTACAAAAGCAGTGATCTGGTATATAGAAACTGAGAAACTGATACTGGCTTCAGTGTGTGAGAAACAACAGTGTTGGGGAACATTTGAAAACTGGAAATTGCCTATTCCATCTAAAGGACAGTCTCTGTTCAGGTCCTAATGATGGTGACCTAAAAATGATGGGAACCCAATATTGTCATAATTCCATTTCTTCAAAGACAGGCTAGAAATATGAATTCCCCATTTCTGTGTGTGAGCACACACACAAATAAATGCACATGTTTATTCATGCATATGGATGCACATGTGGGTAGGTGCACATGTGTGCTCATGTATGAGTATTGATGCACATTTTTGTGAAGGGGCACATGTACATGTAGATGTTAGGGGGCAAGCTTGGGTATTGTTCCTTAGGGGCTATCCACTTTGTTTCCATTAGTGTGGAGCTCGCCAAGTAGGCCGAGGCTGTGTGGTCATCACACCCCAGGGATCTACCCATCTCTACCTCCCCAGACTGGAATTACAAGCATATATCAAAGATGCCTAGCTTTGTCATGTGGTTTCTGGGGGTCGAACTCAGGTTATTGTGTTTGCAAAAAAAATTACATTCCCCACGAACCATCTTCCAAGCCTGCAATTCCTTTTAAAGAAATATGAAATATATATTCTTTTTAGATTCATTAGTTAAAACATTTGAAAACTCCCCTTAGGTAACACTGTGTGGCTCAAATCAGAAATATATGTGAGTCCAGGTAACCTGGTAGTCTCCAAGTGTTACTTCCTGTTCAAGGGGAGTCATAGTGTTCCTGAATCATTCATGGCCTTATGCTTCTCCATCGCCAGCTACAATCTTAGCCCAGTTTTTCAAAAAAGCTAATTATGTTTATAATCTCAAAGACAAGTTCTTTCTGAATATTAGAATTTCTAAGAAAGGTCAAACTTAGTGTCTGATAAAATGCTATCTCTATCACTCAATCTTGAAGGAACCTGGCTTTATTCACAGCCGGGACTCTAGCTTAGCTTTGAAAAATACCCCTAGCTCTGAAAAGAGATATTTTATGTGACACAGTAGCAAAACTCAGATATTTTCCTGTTTAGATTTATGGCTATTTCTTGCTCTCAGAAGGGCTTCTGCAGGCTCCATCAGTAAGATGGCGAATTGTCTCTGACATCAATGAATTCACTGGACATACTCTTAAACCTTCCCAATTACAGGCTTTTTCCTAAGACTCAGAGTCCATTAATCATGTAACTGAGAAAAGACTTATTATGACCTTCCTTTGTATCAATCTTGGATATCTCTTATGTGTGGGAAAGCTGTCTGCAGCTGAGCAGTGTTTTCCAGAATTAAGGTAAATTAGACAAGAGAGGAAAGTGAAAAGAATGTGTAGAGAGGGAATTAGGACCTTTTAAGGCTAGAACAGCCTGTCCTTGCATCCGACTTAACTTAGGTGGGCTCTATTGTGGTAGGATTGAGGTGAGAAGGAGGGTTAGCGACTTTGCTTGTCATTTTAACCTCAGTGGGAAGGGAGTGATTGGAGACAGGAACCTGCTTTTGTTCATTTGCCTTGTCTTCACATGTTCCCAGTGGGAGCATCTCATTGAGAATGTGCAGTTTGCACATGTATTTTTCTAAAAACATGAAGTGGTTGCAAGCCAAGTACATGATCTGATGGTGCTCATTTGAAGACATCTGGAAATATCGGCTTCATTTAGAGACAGTATTTTCACACCTTGTGTGTTAATGTCAGAGTTTTTTCCCCAAGGGTAGACATGAACTTTTTGTATTTTTTTATTTATTTACATTCACCTTACACTGAATACCTCATTTCCTTATTAGAAGTGACTGCAATATACTGTGGGATGTCTTTCTGTATGCTGTGAATATGTATTTCTATCATTGGTTGATAAATAAAACTGCTTTGGCTTATGGCAAGGCCGGATAGGGCCAGGCAGGAAATCGAAGCAGAGATACAGGAGAAGGGCAGAGTCTGAGAGACTCCAGCCAACCACTCATGGAGCAACATGCCTGCAGACCAGTAACACAACGGCCACATGGCAATACATAGATGAATAGAAATGGGTTCGTTTAAGATATAAGAGCTAGCTAGCTAGTAATGTCTAAGCCATCAGCCAAACATTTATAAGCAATATTAAGCCTCTGAATAACTATTTACAAGCAGCCATGGGACTGCAGGACACACTAAAGCCTCCAGCTACAACAATATTCTGGTCACTGTACACCATCACCATCACCTCCACCATTACCCATAGGGGAAGGCATACTCTGATCTCTTGTTTCTGGACTCTGGACTTTTGTCATTTATTCTGCAGAAGCAACCACACAACTTTCTTGGGTTGATCCATCAGAACTCTAACAAGTAGAAAGAAGGATCAGAGTGGGAGCTCAGTCAGTACAGTACTTCCTAAATAAGAAAGAAGACCTAATGTTGACCTGAGGAACCCATGTGAGAAGCTCTGGTTTTGGTGGCAAGTGCTTATAATGTAAGAGCTGGGAAGATGGAGAAAGCATATCCCCCAGAGTTGCTGGCTTTCCAGGCTTGCCTACTTGGCAAGTTCTAGGCCAATGAGAGTCCCTATCTCAAAATTAAATCATATAAATTAATTAACTGATTAATTAATAAAAAAGGATGGCTCCTGAAGAGCAACACCTGAGACTGTACTTTGGTGCATACACATGGACTAGTAGACATGCAAATACCTACATGTACACATCCAAATAAATAAACAGAAGTAATTGTGTCAAGGATTTTTTCTTCTCATTTCTTCTGTCCCCCGTGAACATGAATTCCATGCTTGATGTTGTCATCACACATCTCTTGCCTGGTGAGTGTACTGGGGTCAGTGCAGCTCTATCTGCTGAGGACTTGCCTCAGGTAGAAATAAGGAAGTATGGGTGCTGAAACAGAATTTAAAATTCCTTCTTCCAGAAGACAGACTACCTTCCACCACCAACTCCTCCTTCCCTTTCCTCTTCCTCCTTCCTCTTCCCCTTGCTCCTGTTCCTTCTTTATTCTTTTTCCTCTTCTTCCTCCCTTTCCCCCTTCTCCTCCCTCCTCCTTTTCAACTTTAAGGTGCCTGGTCATATGGAAAAAAGTACATAGAAACTATGGAATGCTGAAGGCTATATTGTCCTCAGTTACTTAGAGGACTGTGAGACATTCAAGGGTCAGTTAGACACCTTTTCTCCACACAACTGTATGTTGTGGAAGAATATGAACAAGTAGAAGAAAGTAACAACAGACTTCTGATAGAAAAGACTTTCAAAAAAGGGAGGAATATCATTAAAAGTACACAATTGAGCAATTCATAATTCTCTACTTTCTTAGAGCATAATAAGCATTTTGAAATACTTCATCTTACTTAGCTCACAGAGGCAGAGGCTATTATCCTACCTTACTCATGAAGCTGGGGTCCTCATGAAGTAAAATACCCTTTCCATCCATGCAGTAAATCAGGCTGGTAGAAACCCAAATATTTGTCCCTGAACTCACCCATCTTCCCGTGGATGAAAGTTCAGGCCTGTTGTAAAAGATTATCATTCTTAAGAATCAGTTTATGTATAGGACAGTGCAACTTTATTTATCAACCAATCAGAGCAACACATATTCACAGCCTATAGAAAGACATCCCACAGCACTTAGTTTATTTTATTTAGAGTGAGGAGGAGACATGGGTGTGCCATGGCACATCTGTGGAGGTAAAGGACAACATACAGAAGTTAGTTCTCTCCTACCATGTGGGTTCTAGGTATCAAACTCAGGTCACCAGGTTTGGTGGCAATCACCTTTATCCACTGAGCCATCTCACCATCTACAGGGAGATTTTATTTAACCCTCCCTACCCCAGTTAATCAGAAAGGTAAAATAGTCGTAATGCCCCTTTTAGCACCCCTTATTTAACTGAGAGTTTAGTATATTTAGCACTTAAGTACAATAGATTGCCAGTGCATGAAACCAAAAAAAAGCACTCACACCAAGTAGATCTTTTACATACTTTTTTTCAGTATACGAGCAATGGTGTTGATGGAAAATGTTTCTAATCATAGGTATGAAGTGTTTTATTCGCATGACCAAATTCTTGAGTTTATAAGATTCATATGCTATTTCTAAATGACAAATCACCCTCCACTTGTCTTCCTCTTCTAGATTTGCTGGTTAGGATTTTTCTAACAGTCTCAATAAAATTATGTTTAAATTGCTCCTACCCCATCCACCAGATCAAGCACACACATCCACAGAAATTACTGGTTGGGTTTTTTTTTTTTTTTACTCTGGTGAAGAATGCTTGTGTTTGTGTGGGGGGTGTACACACATGCATGGGAGGATTGAAAAAGAGTGGCAGTATTTATACTAAAAGCTTCAGATTAATAACTCAGAAAACTATAATGTTGAGAAGTTTTTTTAAACTGCAATGGAAGTAGAATGTGATTAAAGCATGGGTGATTTGGATTTCTCTTTGTGTGGCTGGTTTCCTGCCACACTCGCACACTATTTTCCAGGCACTGCAAGTTCTATGGTCTCTGGGAATGTGCATAGCCAGGGCAGTAACCCTGGAGAGGACACATGAGGGTGAGCTTCTGTTTGGGAATCCCATGCCCTGTATTGGTTCACTTGTCATAGGTCCCTCATTTTATGTTTGCTGACTGCAGAAAGGAAGTTTGGTAAAACAGAAGCAGGTTCATGTGACTGTTTTCTCCATATTGTACCAGCCATCTGCTCCTACACAGAAAAAGTTCTGATTAATGAGGGAAGCCAGAGGACTCTGGAGAGCTATTGGGCAGCCTGCTGTATGGCCTGCTGGCTTCTGAGCTCACAGAGCAGTGGTCATTTCTTATTGGGGTCAGTCCACTCTGTTGACTGGAGGTACTTTTCCCAGAGGTGTGT